ACACACATGTAGACATGGCTTTATAAAAATTTAAACCAGCTTTTTTTTTTCAAATATCTTGCTACTTAGTCATATGCCTGAATGACCTGACATTTTAAAACTGAAGGGTATCTAATATATTTTTGCAAGGACACCAAGGGATGGAATGATATATGGTTCATGTTCTTAACATCTTTATTACATTAGTTTAGGCTTGCCTATGAGACAAACAGAGAACCTCAAAGCATTTACTCCCGACTTTCATTAAAGTATATCTTCAAGTAGATGGTCCAGGAAGTTCTTAAGGATGGGTTTATTTTTGCCCTTCAAGTTGAACAATCTAATTCTTTACAATAACACACAATTCCTCACTGATATATCCACAGCATAACTCCTGCAGCCAAGCCTCAAGGATCGTTGTGGAAGAGAGGGCAGGAATATGGTAAGAGTCAGAGGAACAGGCCGCTTTCTGTGAGTTTGCGCCTCCTAGAAATGCCAGATGTTACACCACTAAGGTCTCAGTAGCATGACTGCCTAAACATGAAATGAACAAGGGCAACCACAATAGATATGCTAAAATTGACAGGGCAAATACCATGCAGCTTCAGCCCTACAAAGAGTATAGGCTGTTAAAGAATGTTGAGGGTATGAGGAAAATCTTCTCCAGTGAAGAGCTCACCAGGTAGTTACCCCATATCAAATGGTCAGCACCAAAAACATGCATACAAGTAACATTCTACAGATTGAGAAGGATATAGTTTCATACTTAGGAATATATGTGCATATACATATATGCATTTACATGTGTGCATACACACATATGTGCACATGTACATAGCAACAATTATGGAAAAAGAAGAAGTCATGAATTCAAAAAAGAGCAAAGGATGTTAGGTGGGAGGATTTAGATGAATGAAAGAAAAAGGGGAGAATGGTGTGATTTTATTATTATATAAAAATAGATAAATGGAATAGGGTTGACTCTTGGCTCTGATAAGGTCCCCTGTTCTAAGTGTGTGTGGTGGGGTTGAGTAGGTAGTACTTTGTACTAATGGAACACCTATAAATCAGCTTTATAGGTATGGACACGTGGCAAGTATTAAGAATTTCTTAAAAACATGGCGTGCAAACTATAGTCAACTAAAAGGATATAAACTCTGGAAAAATATTTTCCATCTGTAGAGATAAAACTTAACAGCTATGAAATGAATGAAGAAGACTGTGATAATTAAATAAAATAAATGGACACGATTAAGAGAAAGTAAGATGTATATATTGAAATTTACATATTTTAGCAAATATAGTATCTATTTGATGTCGTAGTGCCTTCGCCCTTCTTGTCCACTGGTCTGGCACATAGATCCAGCCTCCATACATGTCCAATGTCAGCACGACCCTTTGATGGCCTGATTTCTGTTCCCTGCTATGATCTCTTTCCCCTTTGGTTCTATTAATTCACAAAAGTGGTGCAATATGTTACATAAATCATCTGATAGGCTGGGTTCCTGTCCTTCTTTATATGCATGATTCTTCTCACTGTTAAAAACAAAACAAAAAACAACAACAACAAAAGAATGAAAGCAAAAATGCTTGTGTAACAAACAGAAAATAGCACTGTTCTTTGATTAGTCACAAACCCAAATACCACAAAATTAACTGTGGTAACATGTCAATCAATGCCCTGGATTCCTTTAAGTTGTGACCTTATAAGTCTAGAGGAAGAAGATAAAGTTCATACGAAGAACAATTAGTGAGCATTAAACCAGTCATTCACTATTTAGACCATGTTATTTTGTAAAACCTTTTAAACAAAAACTTCAGACACAATACAACCACTAAAGCCACAATAAGTGGATCAACTCTGTTCAAACTCACCAGTAGTGAAAAGTCAATTTTTTTTTGTTTGTTTTTGTTTTTTGTTTTGGTTAAATTCTGGCACAGTGGGACAAATTGTGTCTAGCACGGAGCCAAGAAAGACTGTTCTTATAACTCTTCTTTGTCATCTGTCACTTAACCCCAATTTGCTTCATATGAATTATGACAAAGACTCAAATGATGATTTCAATTTTCCAAAGTCAATATTAGATAATATTTAATTTGGCAAGCAACATAATGACATATTTTCTAGTCGAGACTCCAGAAAGGACAGCCTTCTCTACTGTATTCCCCTTGCTCTGATCTCTTCCAAACTACTGTTAGAAGGCATTCTTTGTATTCTTCGTTAGCTTCCCTTGACCCTTTGGAGTTGTTGTGAATATTTCCCCCAAAGGATTTAGGGACATTTCTTGGCACGGATAATTGTCCGCATCTTTCCTGGCTTGCTATCTGATGAAAATGCGTGTGACCCTTAGGCCAGTTGCTTTTCCATACAGACTGTTTTTGTAATGAAAGAATGTATCTTGTAAGCATGCCGAAGAGGCGTTGCTAATAGGACCTTCACATAAACACTTCAATATTTTATCTTTGACTCCTGTTTATGTAAAATGTTCTTGTTTTTAGATGGAAAGTCTAATTATTAAATTTGATAAAAAAAATCGAATCCTGTAAATAATTGCTAACTTTAACATTATTTGGATTTTACTTTATTAGAGAAAAATCATATAAAATTGCCATAGTTATGGTGAAAAAAATAGTGCTAATTTTACATTTTGACCAAGCAGGTTTTTCTTTCCTAGGAGAGCCAGAAAAAAAGTTAAATGCTCAGCTTGAAGAGAAAAGACAAGCCCTGAAGGTCTGGCCCAGTCATTAATCAGCTGTGTGATGAGGACCATGTGTGTAAGTTTACTTGGGCCTCAGTTCCTTCAGCTGAGAAGCTGGGCATTCATAGTTTGCTCTGAACCACATTCTTGTGAATATAAAGGAATTGGTACATAGAGAAAGTGCCCTAAAGACCACAGTAAAGACACTGGGAATCATTATATTGGATCGAACTGACATTTCGTATCTCTCTTCTCTCTGAATTTCTTTCTCTGGACTTTCCTGATGGGTGAGTTTGATCTTGTTTGTGGACTTCTCGTGCGTGCCTGACTTACTGACTGGCCTTGGGAGCTTTGTTTTGCATTGGACTGTGGGCATTAGGAATTCTATGGAATAGAGTTACTGGCCCCTTCTGAACAAGAAAGTCAGCTTAGGCAAGCATGTTTCACAGCTCACACAGCTAGTAAAATGCAAGGATTCAGTGATCTTTTTCCCTTGCTGGCTCTTAGGAGGGCATTTAAAATTAGTATGCCTATGCCCAAACTGATAGCATTGAACCAAAGCTGCCATGCAGAAGGAAGTTTGATTCACCAAACATTTCTTTAATAATTAATCTTTACCAAGCACACATTGCACACAATGCTGGTCAACAAGACTGCCCTAACCTCCAGTAGTCTACAGTATAATATACACACTTCTATGTAGACATGTATGCTCCCTGGGTTTGTCACAAGTGTCCCTACTTTACAGACAATTAAACCGAAAGAGAATCTGCAATGCCCTGATTCCGTGTGTGATGTTTCTCTAAACAAAGAAAGCAAAACCCAGAAGTTGTGTCCTCTGAAATATTATATGCTGAACAGAACTCATTTCCTGAAAGATGTGTGCTCTCCTGGCAGAAATGACAAATGAATTGGGAGACCCAGTGCCAAGGAAATATTTGGCCCCTTGTTTTAAAATTAATAAAAATTTAGAACAAGTATGTAACCACATCATGTTGACTCAAGAGTGGGACATCTGTATGCTGGACCTGTGAGGTGGCCCAGCAACACGACAACAAGCCTGGACTGACTCACTCTCGGTCTACCCTCTGCCTCTGTAACTGTGCCCTGTGATTCTGAGTAAGGAAGCACTGTATGAAAAGAACAGTAGCGGGCAGTCTGCTATCATGTCTGCTGGGTTGCCAGCGGAGGGATCCTGAGGCCACGAGGCATGTGGCAGGACGGCAGAGCACTCTGGTTGCAGTCCTGTGAAATAAATGAGAAGTACCAACCACTTTTTCGGGCTATCAGGAAATAGGGCAAAGAAACAGGAAGCTCTGGGGACTCCAGGCACCCACAAAGAGGGAATCACCTTGCCCACTTCGTAACGGTGGTCAAAACTATGAAATTTTTGTGCCTTTTTAGCTTGGAGGAGTCCACAGAAGAGATATCTTAAATGAACCGGCCCGACTGGCTACTCCAGTGCATTCTGTTTCTGAAAACTGTACCCAAAAGTAATCCCCAGCCTTTTCCCTCGGTAAGTAGCAAATGCCTGTGATTATTTCTCAGACCTTAGCGACCTCCTCAGTGTAATCCCTATGATTCGGGTCAAGCAAACCATGTGTTTACTTGAATATAAAACTGATGTAGCCCGAGAAAAGACCAGGTGTGTTTCCTGTCTGAAATGGCGGTTCGGCTCTTCTGGGTGCTATTCAGGGCACCTACTGGGATGTGTCCACTGTCATCTCTTGAGATTGTCATTTTAGATAGTGCCTCTCTCCTTAATCCCTAGCCATCTGATGTACTTTTTTATGTCTCCTGAACTTAAGCACTGAAAATAAAATGGATACGATTTAAAGTTCTAACAGCCTCTAACACTGGCAAGGTGCATGTTCAGATGCCTTCCAAGGATCTATTTTATAGTTCCCTTAGGATTTCTACGAAGTAGTTTAGTTACTGTATGCTTAATACAGAAGTCACCAAAAATGTGAAAAAAACAAGGAAAAAAATGAAATCAGCTATATACTAAACATAAAGTGTTTGCTGTTCCTTACTACTTAAGTGCGTGCATACACTTGGTAAGAAAGAATGTGTCTTGGCTGCTTTGGGAGTGTATATAATAATTTCAATTAGAGGGTTCTCAAAATGTCTCTGCTAAAAAGGGTTTCCTGCGAAATGAATCATCTGCTGTGTGTCTTGACTCTTCCAGAGTTCCTCTGCATGACTTGGGGATTTATCTGAATAAATTACCCCTGCCTTTTGAATTATTAATCTTGGCTGCATGATATGCAAATCAGACTGCCCTGGCCACGTCTAGCGACACAGCACTGGGTCAGAAGCTGTCTCCAGCTCCTGGCAGGGTTTCCGTCAAGAGAGAGGCCATCAGCACAATGGTAAGGGACTCTACAGCCTCTGCCTCCCCGACACACTAAGGGAGGGCAGGCTTTTTGGTGAGGGTTACTTTTCAAAGTGGCCTGTGACCTGAAGGGTGCTCAGGGAACTGCTCTTAAGCAAAGGTGAAGAAGCAAAGGGACAAGACTGTGCCAGCTGACTGTCGCATCTACTTTCTATGGCTTTAAGTGCACTGGTTTAATGGCTAAATACCACATCTATTTTACTTTAAGAGGTCTGCTGTATTTGATAATGTCTCAAAAAATAATTGCAAAGATTTGAATAAATACAAGTATTTACAGAAAGGGGGAACAATCTTTTATCATGAAAAATAATTTACAATGTAAATTTAAAGAAAAATATAATCATTAAACACTTTAAATTTTGTGTTTACATGTAGCAAAATGAGTATATACAAGAGTAAGATATACTAAAGGAAATGGTGGGTTGCAGAAGCAATTGCTTTGGAATGTTACTCACCAGAACTTCCTAAACTGTATAATTTATTCTCTAACAATTTAATGAAAACATGTGACTACTTGATACAAACTAGAATTTTTTAATGCTTTGGTGTTATTTGTGGAATATAGAAAAGTAAAGCAATCAATAAGTAACAAATGCTTGTGTTTTTATACATATAAATACAGTTCCCTTTGCGTTGTTTAGTAATGAAAGTAGCTTGTTATAATGTCTTCCTTACAATGCAACTTTCCAGGATCAGCTGAAATTTTAATTTCTGTTAAGCTCTCTGTAATGATCAAGGGTATAGAATAACATCTTTATTAGAATAAGGGGATTTTTATTAACATCAAATTTCAAAACTTCTAGTAAAGAACACACATAATTTTCACATTTAAGAGTACTGATTTTTTAATGAATTTTCTATCATTTCAAAATAAAAGTGAGTGTTAGCAATTTTCTCATGTGAGTGCACTCAGTTCGTTTGTGGCTTATTTGCTCTAGCAGACGTGATGCGTGGGGGCTAGGAATTAGCGATTGCACGTCAGTGGTCAATGTGTTTCTTAAAGAAGATGCTGTGCCAATAGTTCACCCGAAGAAGCAACAGCATGTTAGTCAGCACGCCCATTGCCTAAAAACAGGATGGCTTCTGGGAAATGGGAGAAAGGCGAGTAACATTCCACGGGAAATGCCCCCTTGCATTGGGAGTTTTGCTTAAATGAACACATGTTACTTCCATAATTTATATAATTATGTGGTAACAAAAACACTCTCCAATGTACACAGCACTGAATTTGGAACACAATGTTCTCAAAATAGTGTGTCCTCATGAAGTTAAAGCAACTTACATGTATTGCACAGCCTCTCTCTAGAAAACCAGACCCTGCTAGTGCTGTGCATGTAGAAAGGGCTATAAAAATACTAGAACCGATTTGTTTCAAAATTTCCTTGACTTTTTGCTATTTGTATTTACTGTATTACACAATTAATTCATACTTTATCCACATACTTTATGTTTTTGTTTATTTCTTGTCCTTTAGATTATAATTATATATTTATATATTTTAGATTATATATATATATTCTTTAGATTATAATTGTCCTTTATATTATAATTACATTTGTTTCTCTTCGCTTTTCTCCATCTAAACCTTTTTTTTTGTTTGCTTGTTTGTTTTTGCTTTTTTGCTGTCTTTCAAATTCATGGCCTCTTTTTTCATTAATTGCTATTATAGGCATATAAATATATATATACATATATATATATATATATATATATATATATATATATATACCTAATACAACCTATTCAGTCCATATAACATTATTTACAAAACACCTCCTGTGACAAAGGATTTTTTTTTCTTTCAAAACAAAAAATTTCTCAGAGGAAATTGTGGAAGAGGGGCAGGAAGACTGTAAGGTTGTAAGATCAGGGAGCTTCCTGTGAGACTATGTCCCCTAGTAATGACAGAAGCTGGAGCCACAAATCGCACCAACGTGACTGCCCAAACTGAGCTGAACAAAGACATCAACAATCAACATGCTGAAGTGGGTGGGGGGAAGACCACGAGGTCTCAACCCCAACAAGGAACTACAGCCAACTAAGGAACACAGAGAGTGGGAGCAATACTCTTACCCTGGAAAGAGCAACTGCTTATCCAAAACTACACAGTCAACCTGAAAATAAACACTTTCAAAGTTAGGATGTTGTAGTGGAGGGTGTTTGTTCTTAAAGCAAGATTTGCTCTAGGAGAAGCTATACAAAGGTATGGATTAATAAATGAAAGTCATCAATTAATTTAGCCATTTATTTTCTTTAGCTGGCCCTGGTATTCTCTGTTTTTATTAACCCTCAGTCTTCAGGCTCTCTGGATTACTAAAAAACACAATTCTCCATCACTTCACCTTGACTCCTGACTTGCAGATTGGTAGCTCCTGGCAGCCGGGCATTTAGTTGTGTGTGTCTCCGTGGATACATCTTCCATTTCATTTTGTGATCCATACAAATTACACAAACCTGTGGCACTTCCTCAGCGTAAATGGCATCCGGTATCATCAGAGAGAGAGAAAGAGGAAATTCAGAATAAAATAAATGGGTTTCTTAGCTGAAGGAAACTTTCCTTTGTCTTAATTTTCATTTAATGTATGTACCAATGCTTCAGTATTTCCCACATGACCTAAAGATCACAAACTAAGTCTTGGAGATCTCCAGCATTGAAGTCTAGACAAACAAGGATTAGTGAAAAAAAATATTGGCAGATAAAGAAAAGGAGGAAGAGTCTGTAATGTTCTAGAAGTCAAGAAAAAAAGGCATCCACACTAATGGCACTGAGAGCTGCAGCAATGAGTCTAACAGTGAGAAGTGTTTGCCATCTAAGGAGCTATGCATGTTAGTTTTTTAGAAACCCATGTCCCCCTCTACCTTTTTTTTTACTTGTTTATGTTTTTGAAATTTTCACACAAGTCCTATATTTAAATCATTTCCTCCTTTGTCTTCCTCCCATCCAACTTCTCCTGTGTTCTACTCCTCAAAATTTTTCTGTAACTTTTGTTACAGACAGGCATGCATCTACACAGAGAGACACATATTTAGTAAATGCATAAGTACATAATGTACATGTATATACAACCCACCATTAAGCCCATCTAGTGCTGCTTGTAGACACACATGCTCAGCAGTGATCACTTGGAATTCGATAATATCAGGGGCTCATGCCTAGAGATAACCGATTTTCCCCTGTCCATCTCGGTGAGCTCAGGGGTAAAGGCAGCTGTCTGATGGTTGTGGTGAGCAGGGTGGAGTAGCTGGAAAGAAGTCTGGAAACTGAAACATGAAATCGAGAAACGTAATAAGGGCTTCCATTCTCTACAAAGGAATTCAAAGTGAAAACACAAGGCTGAGCTCTCCGGCTGTTTGTGGGAGCATCAGACAGCGATGTGTAAGCATGAAGGCCTGAAGTGAATGCCCAGTGCCCATGTTAAAAAGAGGGGTGGAGCATGGACAATCCCAAATTTGGAGAGGCAGAGACAAGAGAATCCCTGATGCTATAGAAACAATTGTCGTAGTTGACTGGCGAGCTTCCAGTACAGAGAGAAAGCCTGGCTCGAACAGTCAAGTGGTGAGTGAAGAAATATATGCCATCCTCTGGTTTTCACATGTACAAATACCTGTGTGAACACAGATGCACTCATACACACGCATGCAGACACACCTCGTAAGAGCAACGATAAAATACTGATGTTATCTACAAACTTGGGATGGAATTTCACAAATAAAACACTGCCAAAATACCAGAAACCAACCTCAATGAAATCTGAATTTGATATATTTTCTATGTATCCTTCTCATAGAAAGCATCACTTAAATAGGTCAGAGTATTTGTATTTGTCATGAAATAAATTCTTTCATTGTAACTAATTTTATTTTCAAACTTGTTTTTTTTTCTATTAGAAATAATTAGGATCCAATATTTAAAAGACTCAACATACTTTCAGATAGTTCAGTCTTTGCAATATTCTAACTCCAATGTAGCCTTATTGCCAGAGAATGAAAACAAGTTATCAAAATATTTGAAGTTTGAATTCGTATTCAGAGAGTCTTACTACTATGTTTTATTAGTTGGTATGGTGGTTAATTTTAAAAGCCAATGTGACATGATCTAGAGTTACCTGGACACAGATTCTCAATGAGAGACTGTCTATATTATCTGTGGGCGTGTTTGTGGGAGATTGTCCTAATTAAGTGATGTTGGAAACCCAGCCCACCATGGTCAGTACCATTTCTTAAACAAATGCTGAGCTGTAAAACATGTGGAGAAATCCAGCTGAGACCATGAGTACGCATGCGTTCATTTCACTCTACTCTTGACTGTGAATGTGATGTCGTTAGAAGGCTTCCACACCATGATAGACTGGGAACTGGAACTGTGAGCTACAATAAACTCTCCCTAAGTGACTTTTTATCAGGGCATTTTATTTCAGCATCAGACATGAAACTAGAAACGTTAGGAAGGTGGCCTCTGTGAGGACTAAGTCTGGATATGGTGCTCTCAAAATTCGGATGCTGGAACCTAATTGTAGGGAATGGTAGAGCTTCTGTGAATGCAGAGGCTTTGCCTTCGTGATGCAGATCATGGCTTTATAACAGAGGACGAAGGGATCTGATGTGCTCTTGCCCTTGCCAGGAGAATTGCGTGACTCGCCCCCAGACAGTGAATCTGCTTGCACTTTCATCTTACTTCCCTAACTGTGTAAGGAAGTAAAATAGTTCTATTATTTCTAGATTGCCCATCACAAGATATACTGGTCTAGCCACTGGAATTGACTAAAACAGGGCAATACTGAAGCGTCTCCACTTCAGTGGAATCGTGTCTCAGATGGTTCTACTACCATCCCCTACTTCATATTTTTATTAACATTAAATGAAGCCATCCTTGGAAAGAGGTGAACACAGTGCCTGGTTACACTGTTAGCTTTCAAGACATTGCGGCCATCATTATTATTTCTAAGGTTTTCAGTATCCTGTTCTAAATCTTAAGACATTATATTTTAAGGTGGACTAAGTAATCTATTCTAAGTTCAATAAAATAAGAAAAACTGTTTACTATATACAACCAGGTAAAAGCTATTAAAAAAAAAGACAACTGTATCCAACAACCCTATTCCCTTTCAGAGCTCAATTCAGTCTTACTCAGCAGAATGTATAAGGATCTGTGTCTGGTGCTGAAGATACAAAGATGAGCTGGAGTCCTCTCAGTGCTTATTTTGTTGCTTTCTCTTACCTGTTTTTAAGTCCACTTTTTATTTCTATGCTGAGCCCTGTCTCATGTTGCTCCTGTGTCTGGAGACAACTCTTCTTTAGGTAGAGATCTGGTTCTTATTTCCAGACAGCGAGTGACACTCCATCCCCCAAACTTGCTCACATTTTCATTGTACTTACTATATTTATTTATTTATTTATTTATTTATTTATTTATTTATTTATATGGGTGTGTGCGCACAGTTGTGCATGAGCGTGCACATGTGTACATCATGAGCAGGTATAGGTTTGGAGGTGAGAGAACAAACTTTAGGAGTCATTTTTCTTCTTCTAACATTTTAATTATTACCTGCTTTTATTCATATCTCAATACAGCATCCTGTATATTTTCCCCTGCTTCTACCTAGGAAATAATCCATTGCTTCTCATTAGCCACTCTGCTTTCTTCTTTGCTATCACACCCAGTGATAAGGATGCAGTTTGAAGATGCTGAATGAAGCCTTGATGAAATAATATAGTCACATGCCCATGTAATGTATGTGTTTGTATACATGTGCTAATGTCTATAAACATGTGGTTTTTTTTTTTTTTTGACTTTGCCTTGGCTATTCTGAAATTCACTATGTAGACTAAGTTGTCCTGGAACTCACAAAGATCTGCTTGCCTCTGCTTCCCCAGCCCTGGTATTAAAGACATACTCCATCATACATGACTAATATATGTATTCTTCATCAGCTCTCCACACTTAAATGTTAGGTTGTTCAATTACTGTTCTACCATTTGTCCTTGGTCACAGTCTAGTGCTGAATCTTGTATTTCTGCTTTAGTCACAGAACACATCTTGTCAGAACTGGCTGGCCGCAGAGAGCATCTTGAAAAAGTACTACCTCTCCACATTTTACGGGATTGAGTTCGTTGTTGGGATGCTCGGGAACATCACAGTGGTGTTCGGCTACCTCTTCTGCCTGAAGAACTGGAACAGCAGCAACGTGTATCTCTTTAACCTCTCCATCTCCGACTTTGCTTTCCTGTGCACGCTTCCCATGCTGATAAGGAGCTACGCCAATGAGAACTGGATCTATGGAGATGTTCTCTGCATAGGCAACCGCTATGTGCTTCATGCCAACCTGTACACCAGCATCCTCTTCCTCACTTTTATCAGCATCGATAGATACCTGCTCATGAAGCACCCTTTCCGAGAACACATTCTGCAAAAGAAGGAGTTTGCCATTTTAATCTCTTTAGCTGTCTGGGTCCTGGTGACCTTAGAAGTCTTACCCATATTCCCTTTCATCAACGCAGAAGGGACGGACAAGGACACCAACTGCAGAGACTATGCAAGCTCTGGAACTCCTAAGTACAGTCTCATTTACAGCCTGTGCCTGACTTTGTTGGGCTTCCTCATTCCTCTCGCTGTGATGTGCTTCTTCTATTACAAGATGGTAGTCTTCCTAAAGAGGAGGAGCCAGCAGCAGGTGACTGCCGTGCCCCTGGACAAGCCTCTGCGCCTGGTGGTCCTGGCGGTGGCCATCTTCTCTGTACTCTTCACACCCTACCATATCATGCGCAATGTGAGGATCGCCTCGCGCCTGGATAGCTGGCCAGAGGGATGTTCGAAGGAAGTCATCAACTCCTTATACATTGTGACCCGGCCTCTGGCTTTTCTGAACAGCGCCATCAACCCCATCTTCTACTTTCTCATGGGAGACCACTTCAGAGAGATGCTGATTAATAAACTGAGACAGTACTTCAAGTCTCTTACGTCCTTCAGGTCATGAGCTGCTGGGTGCCGGGCTTCACTCAGCCAGATTGCTCTGCAGCTGAGTAAGCACCAAGTAAACCACAGTCTCCAGGGTTTAGCTCCCCGCCACACACAGTGCTGGAGTAGATACTGTGGCTGGACACCCAGCTAGTCTGGTTGAGTAGGTACATATATACCAGAGGAGCAACTATCTGTCCTTCTTTCGGGTTGTACTCAAAATATGGGAAAATATGCATTAAAAAGTATTGATACCGTCACCTAAGAACTGAAGGTGAACTAATGGTGTCAATGCTTGGGCACTTAAGAGCCAAAACCTTGGAACTTTTAAGAACTTTTCTATCAGTGTAAAAGGAATAAAAGATAGATAGATAGATAGATAGATAGATAGATAGATAGATAGATAGACAGATAGATAGATAATCATGCTGCATTCATTGCATAATTGACCAGGTGATAAACATGTTTAGGAAATATTCTCTGCTATTTTTATTCTTGCAATATAAGAACATTATGTGAAAGATAAATAGAACTCAATATACACCATTAACTGTTATTTTTAAAGTTATCTTCTTGAAAAATGTAAATAACAGCAAAGCTTACTAAAGCAATGTAATTAGGTTTTCTGTACTGATCATGAACTGTAATTTATCATTAATGTACCAACCCTTTTCTTTTAGATGGGATGTAGCAAATAAGGATCTTACAATGGGTACGTTCTAATTTGGCTCTCACGAAATTTGTCCATGATGAAAGTCCATAGTAAATTTACTCAAATATTGAAGACACATGTAATGAACAGATTCAGAAATTCCACCATTATAGAACTCCACATTTATTGGGATCTCACAGCAAAATAAAGCACACCAAGATGAGTTCACTGTTTCTCTGACTAGCATGCTGTCTGGAATTTTTGATGTCACAATCTGATGTCCAGAACACAGAAATGTGGTAAAAGTCCCCTCCACTTCCACCGTCCTGAAGCAAAGAACTTTAAAGCACATTAGTGGGGCCACAGCGTAGCATGAAGAGCACTTGCTGCTCTTGCAGAGGTTTCAGTTCAGTTCCCAACACCCAACACTGAGCAGCTCCCAGCTCCCTGTAACTCCAGCTCCGTGGGAGCCAGTGCCACATGCTGTGTTCCTTGAGCACACCCGCCTGCACTTGCTTCACAGACAAACAAGCAGGCACGCACATACTCCATAAATACATCTATCAAAGAAAACCAAATGATTAATTTCAGAACGTCGCAAGCAAGTGGCAAGGAACTATCCATTCCATGTTCATTGGGTCGTTTCCTTGAACATAGCCCTGCGCCCGTGCGAAATGTCTGAGGGTTATTTTGCAAAGAACAGGAATGTCCGTCCGAGAGCGCGTTCTCTCTTCTTGGGTTTATGCTCCCTTTGGCTTATGCCTTCACTCCTGACCTCTTCACATAGTTTCTCACAGTCCTCAGATTTCACAAACATGTTTTTTTTTTTCATAAGAAATGTGACTAAATTTTACTCATTAAATCATTAGTTGAATTATTTCCCCCAGAAGGAAATAAGCTTAAAAGTAAAAGAGAACTCTAAATCCTTTACTAGCTCGAACTCCCAGTCAGATTTAGAAGAAGGGGGAAAAAATCTCATGGTCATACTTCCTCCTGCCCGTCTTTTCTTTCTAGATTCAAGTTGCTTGTTTTTTTTTCCCCTTATGTAAGTTTTGAAACCAACTTCTGCAAGTACTTTCAACAAAAACCAACATCTGCTTTTCCCACCACTGGCCTGGCAGAACGTGTCCCCAACCTTCATGAGTCCCTGCCGTAGATCCTAACACGCACACTATTGAAGACCAATATCTGACCTCCTGATCACCTCCCATCTCTTCAGCATAGGCACACCCAGGAAAAGTAAATTTGTTATTTGTATCTAACCTACTTACCTGCCCCAATATCTTACCAAAGGATTCTTTTAAAACAGAAATGCAAGGTTCCCATAAAAGAAATTGTTGCCTGAAATCCAAAGGGATTTGAAATTTCTTCGTCTCTCAGATTCTTCTTGTTTGAGGAGAAATGTTTAAAATACTGTCCTACTCATTGACATAGGGAGGTAAGGAAAGAAATTGAGACAGGCGTGCGGACAAAACACTGGAATGATGGGACAGCATTCTAAGACCACATGAAGAGTAAGTCCAGTCACGTCAGCTACACTGGTAGTGGAATGTAGCATGTTCCCTTCTCAGTCCCCACCCCTGTCAAATGTCACTAGCAGGAGGCATATTCCATCATGCAGTAAGGAATATGAGCTTCTGAGTATTGAGTGCGTCGGGTCAGGAACAATAAGGCAACTCGTGCACATCCATAAAGACAAAAAAGTTTTTACTCAGACCTGCCTACCATCCTGAGACGGTCTTTCTTCTGTTTCTGAAGAGATCTGGAAGCAATCAACACCCAAGGTTTCCCAGGTGACGTCTCTGATTAGATTCACAGGTGAAAATTCGTATAGAAACCCTGCTGTGGTCTTAGGGTCCAGTTCACTTTCTAAACCGTGGTGATTAGTAACAAACCAGACGTTCTCTTCTTTTTCTTTATTTTGGCTTTTTATTAGAAACTTCCTTTTCAGAACCTTAGAGGGAAAGACGTATTAGTGATCAGAATTTATCCTAAATATTTAATCCAAATGATGGCGCTGCACTCAGGCGGAACTTTAACGTGTGCCAGGCGTGGCTCATGGGAACTCACAGAATCTGAGACAACTACAAGGGAGCCTGCATGGAACCGACCTAGGTCCTCTGCATATATGTGATGGTTGGGTAGCTTGGCCTATATGTGGGACTCCCAGCAATGGGAGCAGGGATGCCCCTGGTGCTTTGACTGGCTCCTGGGAACCTATTTCCAAGATTGCCTTGCCCAGCCTGAATTCATGGGGAGGTGCTTGATCTTATAGCAGCTGGATATGCCAGGCTTTTCTGAAATGTGGAGGCCAGAAAATGCAGGCCCATTTCCACCCTTGTCTGACAGAGAGCTCGGAGAGTGAAGGCATAATTGCACCTGCTGTCTCAGGAAGTGGTTGTCTGGCTCCTTTGAAATTAAGATAGCGCAATGTCATCCTGAGGGATGGTCAGGATATGCAAATAAATGTACTTCTGCTCCTTCTATGAAACTATGAGGTCACCCAGGGAAGGGCCTTCTTCAGCAGACGTGACTTAGAGCACCTTAGCTGCTTAAACAACAGAATGCTAACGATTTGCTGTCTCAGAGTTGACTGTCTGAGTTATCCTATGTAGCATGTTAAGAAAGTCTTTTGTTGCCTTCTCCCCCATTTATGTTGGGTATAAAAGTGAAAAACTAAACATGGGAATTTCAGGATTTCAATCACTGGAATGCCCTCCCAATACTCTATGTTTTCTGTCTTATTATTTTTATGGTCTTCATAGTCTTTACTTACCTTTCTTCAATTCCCACAACCCTACCCTGTAAGAAACATTTTTGTTGAGGCTGGTTCTTGACACTGAAACCCATGAGAGGTGGGCCCCTTTCTGAGAGATTACATAGGAGGAATAGATGGAGGGGGCAGAGGGAAGGAGTGGGGAGAGATTGGGAGGAGAGGAGTGAGGGCCAGGCTGTAAAATAAATAAACATATACATACATACATTTAAAAAATAAAATAAGGGGCTGGAGAGATGGCTCAGCCATTAAAGGCTAGGCTCACAACCATAAAAAATAAAATAAGAAAGTATGCCAAGTTCTGTCACTTTGCATACTTTGTATACAAACTATCATCAAAGTTGGTGGGAGGGTTAATAGATCCAGAAACCAGAGGGTGGAGTTTAGTGGTGCCTTGGGGTCATATGGCTGAAGTTGAGGGACCATGATCTTATACAAACTCACCACACGGCAATGGTAATGAAGGCTTAATACTTTCAGGTCAGCTTCACGTCAACTGTGAGGATGTTGACTTTGAAGAGCATCCCATAATTCACCTCAGTGAAATCTGCTGATTTTAAAACTCTGGACGAAGACTCCAAAACCAGGTGAGGATGTGCTCCTATCAGAGTCAGTTCAGGTTCACAGGCAGGATAGTTCTTAACCTTCCCATAGAGGGTGGAACCAGTAATAACATTTTTACAATATAAAATAAGTTTTAGGAAATGTATCTTATCTAGATAGAACTTTTTATCCTAAATAATGACTAACTATGTAATGTTTGTATAAAGCAAGGGTTTTAAGTAACGCAATCCTGCCATATGACACAGAAAGCCTAGTTTTAGTAAGATTTCCAGGAAAATCCATGAGCTATGGTCATAGTCTCCCACCCACTAATCAAACAACAACAACAAAAAAAAAACCCCACTTAATTAGAAGACATGCTTTTATTTGCTTTCTATTGAAAGTAACTTCATGTTAAATCACACAATTTCCAGGGCTACTAGCTCTAGCTAGAAAAATAGCAATTGGACCTGGTTTCTAAAGAGGGTAAATTACTCCACATCAACTTTCGTGTCGCATAGGTCCCCCTTAAGTGGGCCAGTAAGTAAAATGTACTGCTACAGTGTTATATTTACAGCATTCTTACTGAGAAAAGAAACAAGGAATACTCTGTGCTTAGTTTCTAGCTTTGCTACATAAACACACTAGTCCTGGCCCAGTCCTATGCTCAGGGTGCTACTGATGAAACAGGCCTTAAGAGATTTCATAAAGAAATTTTCAGAAACAGGGCCAGAGTTGACTTTGAGTCTTAGATCTGCCTGACTTCCACATATGCCAGAATCTTGCTCTAGGATTTTATTGGAACACAAACTCCCCACGGCATTTCCTTGTGAAACACTTTCCAAATGACCACTAAATCTAGAGAGATCTAAGTACTGGGGTGTTTGCAAAACTATGGGTCGTAGCTGATCTATGAAAGAACTGATCTCAGAAAAGAGTTTTAATTGTTTTGTTCCTGGAAAAAAAAATGTAGCTTCTGTCATATAGTGTTTAATCATCCATAATAGATCTTGAAGTCAGTGTAAGGAATGTTAGCTTCGTGACTTTCTGTTGAACAGTGTATTAAGTTAAATTACAAAGGTATGTGTATAAAAAGCTTGGGCCCCGGTTCTCTCATGGCCAAGCTGTAAGATGATAGTGGGGAAGGATGAGAGAGAGGAGCCATCCCTACACTTGATAAGCCACTGCCGAAGCCCCGCCTATCTCCCCCAACACACTGCGCAAGCTTCCTGTGGGGTTCACATACGCGACGGAGTGGATAATAAACATTTTGTCAGAAAGTTAGTGAATTCTGAAAGACTAACGTACACTTACGGGATGATTACCACACTTACCATGAACTGTGTCTGCCATCGGGGAAAGTAGCATGTGGTTCGCATGCAAAAAGGGTTCTCGGAAGGGAAAACAGAGTGTCACCACTGTCAAAACACAGCCACACAGGCAAATTCAGCTGTAGCTCATCCCGGGGAACAGTCTTGCACAGAGAACCACAGGCAGAGCTGAGGCCAGGCACAGTGTTAGTCACGTGGAGTTTTCATCCGCTCGGAGTCTACAGGACTAACGTCTGAATTATTTGAATAAAGGTAAATATAACCCGATTGCAGATGAGTTGTTTATTTCAGACATTGCAAAGCACTGAGGCACCAGCGGATTAACTCAGTGAGCAACCAGCACACACACAGTACCAAACTCCCGAGTAGTAAAAGACCAAAGCACATATTTTCCCACACTTCACCTAAAATCCGGTAAGTTATTTTGAAACACAAATGCCTTGTGTAAGCATCCAGTCATGGCTGCGGCACCTGTGAGAATCTGGGATGTGAGAGGAAAGGGAAGATGTATCAGGGACTAGGGAACTAGTCAGAATCCTTGAATTCACCAATCGCAGGAGGCACATGGAGATGAATCTGGAGCAAAGCAAAGACGAAGGATGAGCTTGCATGAGAAAGCACCTGAGGTGGAGGCATGTGCTTTCACAAGCACGTGCGGCCCTATTTAAAACTCAGGATTTTAGAGTTTCCCAGTGGGCGCAACATAAATGGGGAAACTCATTGACATTTTACAATTCCATCATGTTCACAAATGAGCGGAGCTGACAGCCCAAGTATATCAGCCAATCATCTTCTTCCTGCGTCCCATTTGCTCATTAAACACTAGGAGGGACTGAAAAGATAAACTACTGATGTGGAGATGGATCCTAATTCATTAAAAGTAAGCATAAAATTTGTGTTTTGATAGACAGGTAGGATTCTGTGACAGCTTGCCAGTCCTGCAATAAACCTGCTTTTTCATAAATGTCTTTTGAGAGACCTGATATTTGCCAGACACTTTGTTGTATATTGGGCTATAAATAAACAATACTTCCTTGGGATTAACTTGGGGTGCTAAAAAGTCATAGATTTTATAGTCGAAGC